TAGGGCTGATGAGGGAGGGGGACTTGATTGGGAGAGGGGGGGGGAAATGGGAGGCAGTGGCGGGGAAGAATAAGAAATCTTTAATAAATAAATAAAAATTAAAAAAATAACATGTTTGGATTTAGAGGTGGATAGCCATTGTCTAACTCCAAAGCCAGCTTTGATTTTTAAGTGAGTTTATAATTCTACTGGAAGAAAAATATAGAGAGGGGGGGGGAGGGAGGGAGGGAGTAAAATTTTACCTTGCAGGTGATCTGTCCTCATAAGTTATATTCCTTTTTGCTTGGTAGTTTCTGGATAGTTATCTTTTTCTCTTTAGGCATCCAAACATGCAGGGTATCTTGACCTTTTGAAGATGAGTATTTTCCTGCAAAGACAAGAACAGAACCTGTCCCAACCCTTATGAGGTTTTCTTACCACCTGTATAATTGTCACCTCTGTGGATGAGCTATTGTTTCTCTTCTAGAGGTGTCTCCTTTTCAAATAAAATCTTTACTCATTTTGATGGCATCCATAGCTTTTCATCTCCTGTGGAAACAAGAGAAAAACCCCTTTCCCCACATAGCACATCTCCTGGCTTCCATTCTGAGGTCAACAATCCTTGAAATACACTGGGTGATTTAATTTAGAAGTCTTTTCTATTATTCAATGTCTCTCTCTGCTGCTGTTGTCCCTTTCTCATTAGCATCATGAAAATTCAAGGTTAATAAAGCATTATACAATCTATTTTCAGGGGTATTTTTCATCCCTTTCTGTTTGTTTAACATATCTTTTATAGTTCAATTTGATCTTTTTATAACTGCCTGACCTGTAGGATTGTGTGGTGTACCTGTAATATGCTTTATATTATAAAAAGCAAAAAACTGCTCCATTTTCTTAGAGACACACACTGGACCATTATCTGTCTTTATTTGTGCAGGTATACCCATAATAGCCATAACTTCTAATAAATGTGTGATTATAAAGCCACCTATTCTGAGCTCAAGGCAGTTGCCAACTGAAAACCTGAATAAGTGTCAATGGTATGTGGTACATATTTTAATATTTCTAATTCTGTAAAGTGGAAAACATCCATCTGCCAGATTTCATTCCTCTGAGTACCCTTTGGGTTATTCCTTGCAGGTAGTGGTGTTTGGTTATAGAAAGAGCAAGTTTATAAAAAATTTCCTTAGCTTGTTGCCATGTAATAGAAAGCTTTTTATGCTTTTGCTATGAAATTCTGAGGCTAGTCTCAGATTCACAATCTCCTTGCCTTGACTTTCCAAGTGTTGGGATCACAAGATGTGATGTTGTTGAAGTTTTCTAGGATAGTTTTGAGGCCTCACAGAAAGGGTAAATTCTAGGTTGGAATACGCAGGACCCCTGCAAGGAGCTTCCCCTGCTCAGGCATACAAAAATACCACCCTACCACTCACCACCCTTGGTTTTCATCCAGTCTTGTTGTCACTGTGATCTCTCCTTCTTTCATCAGTACTAGCTGCTGTCCCCTTTTTTAGAATGTCCAGAGGATGAGGATGTTTAAGGACATCCTAACTGGGACCACACACTGTCCTATCTATGAGGTGTCTCAAAACCGACTACAAGTCTCTTCAAATCAAACTCCGTGTCTGTGTCTGCTTTCTGTTTATGATGTCTCTATCTACAAGTACAGATAATTGTTCATTGAATTGAACTGAGGCAACCAGCAGGTCGGAAGGTCCCCCAGAGGTACAGGCATATCTAACCCACTGCCTAGACTTTCCTGAGCAATAATAGTTTTATTCTCCAGTAGATGCCCTAAAAGATAGGCATAATTGTATGGCCCTTTATCCTATTACCCCCAACCCACCAGTTCTATCTGAAGGCTCCCTAATTAGTTACTTCTCTCATCATTGGGTCAAATCAGCTAACCAAAGCATCCAGTGGGGAGAAAGATTTGTATTATAATTGTAATGGACAGTTTGGCAGTGAAGACCCATGACAGATGAACTTTAGCAATGTGGCAGGAACATATGTATGTATGTATGTATATTATAATTGTGTATTTATGTGTATAATTATATGTATATACATATACTGAGTAAATGGGGATCGATCATGATGCTAGAAAAAGCATTATTGGGGGAGGAAATTTTATGGAGATAGAATACAATACATATGGCATGAAAGGAGAAGAAAGATTTAAAGAGGATGAAAGAGAATAACAGGCAGGGGACAAAGAGATGAGGGAGGGAATGGGACAAGAGGATAAACAAGAACAAACTACACAGGGAAATGTCATATAAAACACTACTCATACTTTAACTCAAAAAATTAAAAACTAAAAAAACACAAACAAGCAGAACCCTCAGCCTGGCTATAATCCATAATAAGCCACACTTTCCCACAACTCCCTCCAGCTGAGCTTCACCTCCCCATGGCTCTGTTACCTCCCCAAACAACACCACCTGCTGAAGATCAAGTGTTTACATATGAGCCTGCGGAGACAGTTCACATCCACACCCTGACAGAGGAGTCAGATAAACGCAGACACACAAACAAATCAGCCCAGATGCTTACTCTATCCACCATCCTAACTTAAGCACTGGAAAAGTATTGGCAGGAGCTCTACTGTGTAGGCAAATGTAAGGAAGGCCACGTTTTCTTATTCAGTTAGAAAAATGCCTGACACACACACAAATCCTCCCATAAAAATGATTTGCTATCTGCTGTCATCGTCAGCACCACAAACATAAACGAGGGCTTCACAGTCTGAGCTGACTATTCATTTCTCCAGCAATGGCGAGAACAGTCACACGAGGATTTCGGATTCACGGGAACAAAGAGCTAAATAAAAATTTCACATTGAGAAGTTCTCTTCAGCAATCCTTTCTCCATCTGTTTCACTGACTCGGTAAAAGGAGAAGGATTTCCCTCTCAGCTCTTCCATCACTTCCTGTTTTCCCTTTCAGCCACAGTTTTCTTCTGAGAATGCTGTAACATCGTGTGGTGTGTCTGTGAGGCGAACACAGGATGTGATGGGATCTTCAGAGAGAAAAGGTCCTTTTTTTCCTCTTCTCGCTGTTGCTCGTCATCTCTATTCGTGGAACCATTTCTGTGAACGGTCAGCTTGTCATTGCTTGTGTGCGCTAACTCAAAAAGACCCAGGTGAGCCACCACAAGAGGAGCAAACACACGTTTCATTTATTCTGATTTTCCTTATTTGGAGTTTCATAAAACAGTATATAAATTTTATTTCCGACAGGACAAAGCTTGGAACTTTAGTGTCTCAACCGGAATATCTCTGGAGAAAGCATCCTAATTCGCCTTTGGAGCAACTGAGGCACTAATCCTGTGGCAATGAGGTGACATTTTTATTTATTTATTTATTTATTTATTTATTTATTTATTTATTAAAGATTTCTGTCTCTTCCCCACCACTGCCTCCCATTTCCCTCCCCCTCCCCCAATCAAGTCCCCCTCCCTCATCAGCCCAAAGAGCAATCAGGGTTCCCTGCCCTGTGGGAAGTCCAAGGACCACCCAGTAGAATAGAGGGGACAGTGCTCACTATCAAGTTGCTCTCAGTGCTGATGAGGAGGGGCCTTTCCTGATTGGGAAGACTTATCAGCAAGCTAAAAGGCATGACATACAGGTGAATGAACACAGTGCACAGGCAGGACGTGTTGATGAAGGGGCCTCTTTAACCTCAACAGGAGACGTAGCAAGCAAGGAAAAGAGAAGCCTGTTCAGAGTCATGGTGAGTGATTCACAGGCTTGGTCCTGCACTATGAGCTTTCTGTTGCTGATTACAGGGCTGTTCAGAAATCTCTGGGTGGTGATTTCTCTTTTCCACTTGCTTTATAGTGCCCCTCTTCCATGGTTCTCTAAGGTAGGATTCTCTGTAGCGTAGGATTTCCAAAACAAAAGTAGAGTCAGTAGTGTGGGGTATCTCTCTGTGAGTATTTGATGGACTTTTTAAAATATGAAGAATAATTTCCTATGGCAGTGGAGATTTATATGTCTCTGGTTCCAGGTTCTGCAGGGTTACTTGAGAGGCTGGAGACACTGGAGAGCCAACTGCTTAAGTCCAGTCTAAAGACTTGAGAGCCAGAGGAACTCACAGTATAGTGCCTGTTCAAGGTCCTGAATAGGTTTGAGACCTGGGAAGAGATGTTTCAAGTCCAAGTTCAGGAAGAAAGCCAAAGTCCCAATTCACTCTCAGGCTGGCAGACAATTGTACCCTCCTTTCAGGATGATCAACATCATTTTGTTTCTACATAGACTTTTGTCTGGTTGCATGGCCTTCCCCTACTCTATCCCCTCCACATGCTAAGAAGACCACTATCTATTTAATTCAGCCTAGCAATTATATATCAATCTCATCTAGAAAGAACCTCTACACCCAAGAGACACAGCCAGAGACAGTTCAGTCACGGTGATGCATAGTCTTAATTGGCACATTACCTTGGACACACACACACAGAGAATGGTTGGGAAAACATATTTTCCTTAACCAAGATATCATCATTAGAAGCTGAAGTTTCCAGGGCCTGACCTCAAGCACCCCATTGTTGTAGCTCAGATTCTGAAAGTGAGTTACTGTGCTGAATATCTATGAGGATACCCTCTTGGATCTGTATACGTGGAAACAAAGAAAGAGAGGAGATGTGAACAAGAAAAGATGAGCTCTGGTCTGGGATACAGCTTAAGCACAGCCTTTGCTTGCCCAACCAAGAATGATGTGACCAAGTGCCACAGCTGCTTTTGTCAGTCGCTAGATGTGGGATCCACATCAGTGGTGACCTTAGATGAGGTAGTCATGTGTAGCTTAGCTGTTCCTGAGGAAACAAACACTGATGACTCTGTGAACAGTGCTCCCATCTGTCCTTGGAGGGCTCTATGGAGTTCTCCTGCATCCATATCATAATGCTGGCTTGAATCCCAAGTCTTGTTCTTTACAGTGACTTCTTTGATCCTCAATTTTGTTCTTATTTCTAGAAATAAAGTCATTTTCATTACTTGAAATTCTCATAAAAGTTTCTTATTGATTTTTCTATTTGGAGCCATTGTTCTTAGTGCCACAAAGATACTGCTCTCTTCATAAGAAGTATTTGTACAGACACATTCCATTCCAGTAAAAGATTGTGCAAACTCTTTCGAAGAAACCACACCATCCTTTATGGTTTCAGTGAGGTTGCTTGGTAAAAGTGTTTCTGAACTGATCCCTAAAATATACATTTCTGCCACACTGTACCTTCAGACTAAGCTAAAGATTAATGTCATCAGAACAAACTTCTTTATTCTCAATATTTGATGCTATGCAGACACATCTGTTTATTGCTTCATGTTCCATTGGTTCATCAACTTTTTCTTTAGGTTCATAGGATGTTAAGAAGGCTGTTCTTTTATTTGCAAACTGACTTCAAGAATTTCCAGAGTGGAAACACTTCACCACCACCATCATTATCATCATCATCATCATCATCATCATCATCATCATCACCATTACAACCATCACCACCACCATCATCATCACCACCTCTGCCACTAAAATTATCACCATTATCACTATCATCATCATCATCATCATCACCACCATCATTATCATCATCACCATCACAATCACAACCATCACCACCACCATCATCACTACCACCATAATCACCACCACTTCCATCATCACCATCACAACCATCACCACCACCATCCACCCTAAACCCCAAATCTTTGTAAACAATTCTAGTGGAACCAATCTTTGTACTTCAGTCTTGCTCTGCAGACCATACAGAACCAGTTTATTTAAGCTATATTCTGTAAACTTAGGCATATGCCCCTCAAAGTAAGTACAATCTAACTGGGAACCAGATTTCCTGACAGAGCTCTTGTTGTGGAAATTAGGTCAGGCAAAGCTTCTGGGGGTATTTGACTTAGGGCATGGTTTTCTGCCTACAGACATGATTGCTTTTAAGAGAGAGGAGGGCTCTCATGCTCTTGGGTGGTGGTCGGAGATCTGATCGCAGCTTCCAGCATCCACAGAGGACCACAGTGGCTCTCTGCTTTGTTCTTTGGGAGTATTCCCCAATAAATATTTGATACCCTCCTTATTTTGGGCTCTCGTCAATTCTCTTTTCACGCTTACAAGCTCTGCAGTCAGAATAACTAGCCGGTAAATAGTGGGGGGTCCATATGATTATAACCAGCAATATACAGCCCGACACCATATGGTCTCTGACCATACTGTTGTGCTGGGATCTGGGTCTTGTTTCTAATTAGAGTCACAAGAGGAGACTCAGGAAGTGGTCTGTTAGAGAAAAATGTGTGATCCATGCACTCCTGGAACATAAAATTGTGTAACAATCCAGCATCAGCAGTCAGCCCCCGCAGGTGAGATGCACTCAAAGCTGTTAATGCAGAACGTGATCCTGTGGGCGCAAAGTTCTGACCGCTCCCTCCCGTCATTATGACCAAAATTGCTCGGGTTCTGTTTTGGCTTCTAACTGAACCTTGCTGAAGGGTAAATTTAGCTCCATGAATCCCACCCAGAGGGCCCCAAAAATGACATCATCGACACAGTGGTTGGTTGTGAAGCAGAGATATGAAATGGACCTAGCTGGGAGTCTTCTACAAAGCTCTAAGTCAATGAGTTTAAACGAATTTTAAAATTATACCTTAAAACAAAAGGTTTTGCACACAAAAGGCCTCTGTATAAAAGACAGAAAGGAAAAATGAAACATTTGCAATTTCCCTTTAAAGAATCTTGGCCAGATTCTTGCCAAGGTATGATAAACATTCCTGTTTAAAACTGTTTTCTTTTATTATATATTGACAACTATATATATATATACATACATACATATATATATTTGTGAAGCACAAAGGGATGCTGTAAATTCTTTAATATGAAGTGAGCTAATTAGATCAACTTTCAGTAGCTATCGCCTCAAATGCTCATCTAATTTCTGTGGTGGGAACATTTGAAAATTAAGCTATTACAAATTCTGAAATGCACAGCGCCCTGCCACACTTAGCTGCAGCTGCCACACTTGGCAATCAAAAGCACGCCCTATTCTTCTGTCAAGCTGAGGTTCGCATGTCTTCGACCAGCATCTACTCATGACCGCAGGAGAAGGGAAAGGTGCACTTACAAGGTGAAAGCCGAGCAAAGGCCAGTCGTTCAAAACTCCATGGAAAATTATCTTCTTTTAAAGTGTGAAGGTAACTTTGCTAAAGCCTTATTCCTTTTTATGTTGTTTACTCTTCGAGTTCTTATTTGTGAATCTCCGAGTTGGCTAGATTTTCATCCAAAACTATGAAAGAATTTAAGTTAGTCTGTTTACTTTACAGCCTGTGTGTGGCAGGGCTGAGGGTCAAGGTAAAAATCTCTCCGTCCTAGATACAAATCTATCTCTTGAAAGAGTTGCCTAACCCTAATGCCAGCACTAACTTGAGTCATGCTCAGACTTGATAAAGGTTTCAATTTCAGATATCTTGCTTAGTAGCAAGGAAAAAAATATATAAGGGGAATATTGCGAGATCAGCCAGTTGAATTACATTTTAATATTTCCTATCCATATTGAATACATCGAGTCTAAAAGCAGAACATAAAAACCCAGCTCAGCTGAAATATGAAGCACCATTTGTTATTATCAATGCTGTGTGTCATCATTACCAGCCTCATATTTCAAGAGGACAGACAGCTGGCGCTTCCAAGGTCAATGACAGTTTTATATAAAAAAGCCCCAAATGAAAGAATGACAGAGATCAAAGATTTGAGACAATCATAAAGAGAAAGGCCACCGTATGCTAGCTCATCCATTCCAAAAACTGGATTTTTATTCTTGATACCCAAGATGAAAGGATGGGAAGGGACTGAAAATGAGAATTTAATAAGAGCTATAGAGATGGCATTCTAGTCAAAAACAAGTTAAATATCCTACAGGAAAAGTCACCAAAGAGATGTGAGCACAGCTAATTGTTATGACTGTGTGTCTGTTCCCTGATGGAGAATTCATTTTGAGAAGGCTTGGAGTTAATATGAGCCAGTTCAATTATACAGCAGGACAGTAATGATCGCAGAAGTACACAAAAACAAATCAGACTTGGCTAGGCAGTAGCAAGGAATAGACTTGGACTTGCAGTGCCAGGCTTTTGATAACTTCAGTGTATTTACATTAGTGGAATAGCGTGGGACACGTTTTAATGCTTTTGGATATTTTGAACAAAGAAGTAATCAATTCGTGGCTGGTATATGTCAAGGGGTTACTATAAAAAATGTAATTATCTAAATCTATGGTGTTCAGCCAGTTGATGCAGCATCCATTTTAGTGGTAATGATCTTGCCTGTGACTGAAGTAGAATGGCCTA